TGTTTCTCCTTGAAAGAAATTAAACCTATAAAAATGACACTTTATTCAGATTAATTCTGATCATCTAGATCAAGGGCTTGTTTTTCTTCCAGTACAAAGCTTGCTCCAGGCCTCACAATCATTGTTTGGGCTCATTAAACAATAAACACAAGAACAGGGCAAAAACATGATGGCAAAAGATGACAAAATTCCAAGACTGTCAAAAGTATTTACTTGTAATGGTTTCCATGTTTATCCTTTTTTTCCAGGGATGCTTTGCCATGCAAAACAGTTTTTTTTAGACATTGCCAGTTGTAGGTTTGGAGTATTCATGTTAGCTGGTGTTGGTCACAAAGCCTTTTCTATGCATGTATTCATGATTTCTTTGGACTGTTTTCTTTGATGAACTTGAAACAATTGTAAACAGGATTTTGTGTGCTTTAATAAATAGCCAAATAATAGTTCAAGAGCTTCTGGCTAAAAGCAGCATAACAGCAACCAGACTGGAAAAGTAAAATTCAAATGAACACTTTGTATCTTCAAATGAAGAACAATTTACAATGAAGAAAAGCTGCAAATTTATACTGCTTGTAGATTTAAAAAAAAAAAAATATGCTGCTTGTGATTGGTTATCCAAGTTGCAAGTTTTCTTTCACCTTCCTGCCTTTTATTTGGACAAGATATATGGCTAGGCTAAGGATCTTGACCTCTTTCACTTTGGCCTGTATTCTCGACTGCATTATTTATATACAGGCAAAACGTTTTGACTCAAAATATTAAAGTGTATCGAAAGCCAAAACTTTTTTAGTTTTGAGTTAACTGTCCCATTTCAGGTTTTATGGCTATTTGTGTCCCCAGTAGTAAGGGTCCCCCTCTCTGTTTGCCTTGGTGATGAATCACAATGGGGCTGGTCGACAGGCTCTGAGGAAGAGTATAAGTCCTCAAAACGCGTAAGACTCTGGATGATCCATCATTTCTGTACACCTTGATGATTTTCGGACTGTTTGTGCTGCACCGATGAGATGTATTTGCACTTTTTATGACTTTGTGAGTAGAATAATTACCTTTTTACAATAAACCTATTATTTTAAGGTTAATGCACTAGGCCGGTGTTTGTTTATCGTTACCACACTGTTCCTAGACCTTCCTAGACCTCCCCAGTCTTGTTAGGGCAGCAAGGCCAATGCACCCCATGAAGGCCAAATGTTTGACTATAGCCCATTAATGCCGCTAGGCAAACTCCCCAAGTGCAGGAAGACTGAAGTGTCCTATTTCTTTATTAAGGTAAAAATGTTTAGTCATTACTGTGATGAACACAGTGCCTGACCCCTGCCCTTCTCACCAACTCGTGACAAAGGACCAGCCAATCTCACACCATGCTGCAACTTGCATAACAATCCCACTCTCAGCTGCACCCTGCACAAAGATTTTCCAGCTCGAGGGACCACAATCTATGTGCCAGCAGCCTGAGAGTGGTTGTCACTGAGATAATTAATTACGCAATTAACCCTTCAACTCCAAACTGCCACCAGATAATTTTGGAACTATCAACCCTTCACAATATTAGCAAGGCCAAATGTGAACATTAAACGTCTGGAACACCCACTGTCACCACAGACAAGTATATACAGAGGATTATTACATACCGTAGCACTTTTGAAGAGAGAGGGATTCTTTAGTTTGCATTAAAAGATTTAGAGACAGTTTCAACACTTTTCAAAATAGGGTTAATTACTAAAAAGGTCAAAATGGTGCAATTAAAATATTTACAGAAAAGGATGTTACAAAGACATAACGAGAATAATGCAACAGAGGAATAAAAGAAAGGAGCTAAGAAGGCAGAATACTTGCAAAGTCCTGGATTTAGCAGATTTCAATTGTCCAAGCAAAAAGTCAGTTAAGATTTTCCTTGGTTGATGTTAAACAAGAGCTCCATCATCACAAGTCCTGTTAGTCTCTTTCTATGATATCAAGGGGGTGTGGACAGAGACCAACTGACCAATAATCTGGTTTAAGGGATGGGTGCTAGGAGGTCACCAAATTTCTGACCAAGTCCCAACTGCAGTTTCATACTAGTATTACCAACTTCTAATACGTGCAGGTGGTATTCTAGCAACTGGCAGATTATTATTCAGAATTATATTTTGAACCCAGGGATACCAAACACAGCATACCTATGTCACCCAGGAGGGAAGAAACTGCTTTCTCCCCTTTCCTACATGCTAACATAGCCATGTATGACCTTTATTTGTTCGGAATGATATTCCCTATTCAAATATATCTAATATTAATGTGTCCTGTTCCTGTTGAATTCTATGAATTGTATGTGGAATTGTTACATGCGGAATAAACATTTTATGGCACACTCTGCATTCCTAGAGCTCTAATCGCCTTATCGATCATGTGTGACTGCTTGACTGAGTTATTATTGTTTCACGATAGGGCAGAGGAAAGTTGTTTCCATGGTTTGTGGAAACAGACATCCTGCCAAGACTAATTAGCTGTTTAGAGCCCTGAACACTGGCGTCTATTTGTGTTTTAATTAAGATAACAAGCTCTTTTGAAGTTCCTTAAAAGTTACAGCTACAAATTCCAGTTTTCAGGAGGAGGGGGAGGAAGATTACTGCTCATGAAAAACAAAAATGGCTGTCGTGTACAGGTTCCATGTCCATATTGCGCACAATCATTACAGTTACAACCACTGTAACACATAGCTGCCATTCTGCAGCCTTAGAAAGACCAAAAGTCTTCTTTGGCTCTGTGTCAAAAGTAGATAGCATGATACTCAGTCATGGAAATGAAATAAAAAAGAATATCCTTCTATAGTATCTACTTGCCACAATCCAAAATATCTAGTGTGAATTCTATCTGCTGTTTCCTTCCTTTGCCATCTGCTGGAGTCACTTCTGACAGGTTATGCTGACTCCAAGGGATACACGGGATGGGGTAAAGGATCTTCAGCACACAGCCTGTGATTGACAGCTCCAGCTGTGTTTGCTTTCCCAAGAGACTGTGTAGAAGGAGAGTGTCCATTCCCTCCACTCAGGTACCAGATTACATTCAGCTCCCCACTCTATGCTGTGTCATGTGTGACAGATCCCCGCCTCTGACCTTCTGATGAGCAGAAATGCTGTGTAAACAGTATATCTCAAACAACTGTGGATAAGAGATGGCTGCAGGTAAGCAGGTACAACTTTTGTAGGAGGATTTATTTAATCTATGGGTATCATCGGAAACCAGTCATTTCACTGGGTATAAGTAAAGGGCTTACAAACACTTTAAATGCAGCAGAGAAAAATCAGACCACCAACCTGGCTGTACTTTCTGGGAGGTCTGTGTAAATCTAAAAACTGATTGGACAGAAATACAATTCAGGTAAAACAGTTACCATATCTGAATTTTATTGGTGAATTTAGCTGTTTTCCTAACACTCGGCTATAATTAAAAGAAACCTAACTTGCATAGGTAGTCTTGCAGCTGCAGTTGTTGAGAGAGAAGACTAAACAAAATACAGACACAGTCAAGTATCCTTTGCACTGGGGGCATCATGAATTGCAAATGACCTATCTCTGTATTGCTTGAAGACTACTCTAAAACAAAAAGAAATGTAAGCCAAGATGTTAAGGCCAAGTTCTGTTATGTTGAATCTTAAGAGGCATAAGCTAAAGCATTGTTCTGAAATGTTTATTACTGCGTGCCGATAGGATTTCTACAGTCTTACAACCATACAATCCCCTGCCATATGCTAATCGGCTGATTTGCATGATGGATGCATCACAGTCCTTGCAGATTCAGAGCGTTCTCTGGTGTTTAAGAATGAAGTGAATCTGTTCTCGTCCTGTAATGCTGTCATGTTCCATTACTCCAACAGACTGGTGTTACATATAGGCCATGCCGCTCATCTTATCCTTATACATAAATTGCTTAGAATGTCTGCAGCTACTTGCGGGTAACAGCAATAAAGCACAAGCGAAAGATTTGGAAAACAGACTTCTTTTGACATCTATGGTAATTGGCAGAAAGCACAGCAGGGATGTGACTATGAATACCGAAACACCATAGGGCCTTTAGCACTAGGCAGGGGCAAAAATCAGCTAGCTACCTCTGCTCCGTAGACACAATTTTTATATGATAGTATTACTGTCTACTATCATTGTGACAATATAGTATTTATTCCCTTCAAAATGTAAAGTATCAGGGGTTGGTTCTGGATTGGTTAGATTTAACCACTTCAAGACCGGACACTTTTACCCACTTTCTGTCCAGGCCAACTTTCAGCTTTCAGTGCTATCACACTTTGAATGACAATTGCGTGGTCATGCAACACTGTTCCCATATAAATTTTTGTAAAAAATTTTTGAGTTTTGAGACAGATAAAGCTTTATTTTGGTGGTATTTATTCACCACTAGGATTTGTATTTATTTTGCTAAGGAGGAGCCTTGCCATACTGACGTCACGCCACTGTGTCCACATGGAGGGCCGGTGGCCATTTTTATGGAACACATCTATTTTGACATTGTTTATCTATGGTGGAGCGGGACAAGTGGAGCTATCCCTGTATGCTGTGAGGGGCCAGTGATTGATGCCTGGTGTCTTTTCTGTGTGCTGTTATTAAGCTAGTGGAGTTCCTTTCCTGTGTCCATACATTCATCAGGGAGATCTTGGATATGATTCTATGCGCATTTTTAATGCACTTCTGGTGAGTGCATTCATACAGCAATCCCTTATCACGGAGTCACTTGCACGGATATTTCACGGAATATTTTGAACTTTGTTCACCAATATTTACTTTGTATTTCACCATATTTTTGTTGGACTATTCAGTATTGTCACTGTCCGATATTTCAAGTCGCTACCATCCTCGCTACTGTTCAGCGAGACACTTTTGCTTAGTGGTCACTTTAGCGCTTAATCATTCGTGCTTCACCTTTGCATACAGTCAGTTTTGTCATTTTCATTGATTTGATCTCATCTTAAAGCGCTGCATTATATATTTGACTGACACTGTACTAATGGCACTGGGCAGGAAGGGGTTAATGTGAGGGGCAATCAAAGGGTTAACTGTGTGCTGGGAGTGTTTTACTAGGGAGGGGGGGTGTTCTTCACTGTAAGCACATTGATCAGGATGGCTGTACTGTGCACAGCCATCCTGAGCAGTGTACTCGAGCTGACAGGAAGGAAGACTGTTTGTAAACAAAACAATCTTCCTCCCTGTTGGAGATCCTTGGTAATCACCGGGTGCCTGCAGGTAATTACCGGCCGGGACCCTGTGATTGACACCCATGGCCGCAAATGCCAGCATGGATAGGGCGCGTGCGTGGCTAACATGCGCCCCCTACCCGGAAATGCAAAATGACGGATATATGTGATTCTGTGCACAGGTGCCGCCCTGCAGCAGTATATCTGCTATAGGGTGATCCTTAAGCAGTTAATTAAAGCAACCTTTCTCAACCTTTTGCCACAAAGGAAACATTAAAAAATGTTTTCAGGTCTTAGGGAACCCTTGCTAAAACCTATTTATTGGTGGCTAATGGGAAAAATGCTCCTTTTGTTGGTGACCACTTGGCACAAATACCCCACTTACAGTGGTAATCAGAATGCCACATTTCCAGATGATTAAAAGGATCATTGGTGTCATGCAGTTGACTCTGCCAAGTAGCGTTGGCATTGGTATTATGCAAACATCAGATGGGATGTCAATCAGCCACAGCTCAACCTGTGGAGGAACCCTAGGGTTCCACAGAATGCTAGTTAGGAATGGCTAGATTAAAATGTAAGTAAAGCCGGCATTTTTTATTTTGCTTTGAACAGGGAATGATTAAGTGCCCTTTCAGGTCATCTTCAACTTTTGTCTCAGAGTCACAGCATGAGGTATGGGGGCATCTCTCAATAGTAAGGAAGTATCCCCTCTTAGACAGCTGTCCCCAGAACAGGTTTCCCCAGGTAAATTTTCCTCTCAGATCCTATTAGTGTGACAATTCGAAAATGTGGATTTCCTATCATTTTCTGTACTAGAGAATCTAGAGACAATGGTCACTATTTTGCCAAAATAAACTACCATTCCAAAATACAACCATGGCAATTTTCAGAAGCCAAAAATGAAGGCACTAACCAATGGGGTCTTTCCCCATGAGAAATAGATTTGAGCTAAAAAGCAAAACAAGAATTCTTAAAAATGAATCTTCTGAGTAGCTGAATGGCATTGCAGCACATCTTTGTGCCTGGGAAAGAGAACATGAGGAATTAAAAACCTTTTGTGACGTTACCTAAATATTTACAAAAGAGAAGGGCGCAGCGCTAGAATACAATATAATAATAAACCATATATATATGAAGTGGTGACAAAGTGCTAGAAACTGTGCATAAAAGCAATGATAGTCCTTAAACATCAAACGGTGACTGAAAAAACGTGCGTCTTCCGGTGATCAGAATGATTGAATCATGCACTCACCAGATGCATAATTCAAATATGCATATAGATGGTATCCCGATATCCATACGCAGTTGTCTCATGAACGGATCAGGTCATCATCTAAGTACAGCAGTCCATCCAAAGAATCTTCTTTATGGATCGTGTGTTGCCACACTAAGACACCCCTCAGCTGTCCCCTAAGAGACTCTTGATTCTGGTGGATGTGTTTACAAATGTCAAACACATATCAGCCCCTGCTGCAGCCTCCCGCTTAGTGAGGAGATGGAGATAACGCTCGCTCCTGACTGCACAGGACTGATAACGGAGACCAATGTGACCGATCGGGGAAGAAGGGCGGATTTTACAATATAAAGGACGAACGGTCCAGCTGCTCCGTGCTGGGTGCTCTCCTCCACTGACAGCCCAATGGCTCCTAATCCCCCACCGAGCTTTGGAAGCTCGGTGGGGGATTAGGAGCCATTGGGCTGTCAGTGGAGGAGAGCACCCAGCACGGAGCAGCTGGACCGTTCGTCCTTTATATTGTAAAATCCGCCCTTCTTCCCCGATCGGTCACATTGGTCTCCGTTATCAGTCCTGTGCAGTCAGGAGCGAGCGTTATCTCCATCTCCTCACTAAGCGGGAGGCTGCAGCAGGGGCTGATATGTGTTTGACATTTGTAAACACATCCACCAGAATCAAGAGTCTCTTAGGGGACAGCTGAGGGGTGTCTTAGTGTGGCAACACACGATCCATAAAGAAGATTCTTTGGATGGACTGCTGTACTTAGATGATGACCTGATCCGTTCATGAGACAACTGCGTATGGATATCGGGATACCATCTATATGCATATTTGAATTATGCATCTGGTGAGTGCATGATTCAATCATTCTGATCACCGGAAGACGCACGTTTTTTCAGTCACCGTTTGATGTTTAAGGACTATCATTGCTTTTATGCACAGTTTCTAGCACTTTGTCACCACTTCATATATATATGGTTTATTATTATATTGTATTCTAGCGCTGCGCCCTTCTCTTTTGTATGTCTTTTTAAGTTTTTTGGTACTTATTGGCGCATAGCAGCTTCTCCATCTAGCGCTCACTTTTATCTTTATTTCCTGTTACCTAAATATTATTTATTTTACATTTTCAAATTTGTTTTTCTTGACTACACTGATGGTATATTGTGCTGTATAATGTGGATTCTCTTTCAACTTTCCCTTTGAAAACACAATAAAGAGAGAATGAACAACAAAAGAATACTTATACTGATCCATATCAGGAAGCAAGTCTTGAGGGTTCCCTACTATCTATAATGCTTAAAGGAAAATCTCCTGTAAAAAAGATTCAACACCAACCAGTCCTTCATTTCTAGGGTGAAGTCTTGGCACTGTCATTACAGGAAATTTAAGTGAACAGACAAGGAGTCAATGGGGGATGTTTAAAGCCAGAGACCTTTATGGGTGTGTTTTTAGCAGAAAGTGTAGTTCTTTAAGACTCCACTATAAACGAAATTATTATTATTAATTTTTCTTTTCATCTTATTCTGAGGTGGGGAAGGGGACTGTGCATTGATTTACAGCTCCAAGTTCAACAAATTCAGCAGAAAAGCCAAATTTTGAAGACCTTTTTTCCTTCATGGAGTAGTTGTTAGCTGCCATAGACACTAGCAGGTCTTAATAGGTACACATGACAATGTAAGCATACTTGATTCCAGAAACAGCTCCATATTTATTTGTTGCTCCTTGGAAATTAAAGAGTTGATTACACTAAATCAGCCGATCTCAACCAGGATTCCATGGAACCTTAGGGCTCCTCCAGAGGTTGCTAGGGTTTCCTTGAGCTGTGACTAATTGACCTCTTATCTGATGGTGCCATTGTTCAGTAGCTCCAAAGTCAATGTCACTTGGCCACATGACACCAGTTATTCTTTCAGCTGTACTTAAGGGCATTCTGGCAGCATTCCTCCCACTGGACACCAATATAGGGGGCATTTTTTTTCCCACTGATCACCAATTCATTTATTTTATCAGGGGTTCCCTGAGACCTAAAAATGATCTCAAGGGTTACTCAGGGAGAAAAAGGTGGACTAAATCATTGAACAGCTGCCTTCTTGTTGTTTTTCTCTGGTAAATGTATCAATTAGGAGTATCGAGACAAACCATTTAACACTGAACAATGATCAGCTTTTATTTATTTATGTAAAACAGAAGTACTTACAATGATCAGCTTTTATTTATTTATGTAAAACCTTTATCCCAAAAGGAAAAACTTTGCTGTACCGCACTGCAGTGTTTGCAGGACTTTGTTTTTAATTTGTATCTAAATCTGCTAGTACATCTAACACTCCCCTCTCCCCAGACTGACAGTGCTGTTGTCCAAAAGTGCCCCCTGTTCCTTCATCAAGAGTGGAGACACTCTAATACGGGAGGTGTGTTAGTAGCTAGAACACAAAGTGAAAACAGAGGGAGAAAAGCCTAAAAAAAACGAATGAAGCCACCACATCTAAGGATTGGTAAGCTGGAATATTTAACATTTTTGGTTTTGGGTTTAATACCACTTGAAATACACAGTTGAAATACATACTGTATATGAAAACTGACTGCAATTCTGTTTACCCAGTCCTGTGATTTAGGCACCCCCCTCAATCCCTGGACCTTTCTGCAGTCTACACTCCTCTTAAGCAATACAACCAAAACCCATCTCAGTCTGTGAAAGTCACTGGAAGGAGCAGCTGCACACTGATTAAATCATCCATGCTGCCTCCCCTCCTATAAGCATGTTCTGACAGCAATTTTCAATGCATCAGTGCCCCGATGGTGCTGAATGCTTTCCTGCTTTTCCGCATCTGAATGCAGCTGACCGGAGGATCCCAAAAGGTATGACTATGTGAAAGGATATTTTTAATAAACCTCCAGAGTCTTTCTTTCGATACCAAGCAGTACTAAATAGACAGTTACACTCATTCACAATGAAAAGCCACAAATACATACATTTTATTCTCAAATAAAACTCAAAACTGGACAACGAAAGAGCAATAGCAGACTGAAGAGATTATATCTTTGCTTAGGCCCCTTTCTCACAGGGGGACAGGGGGACTCCTCCAAGCAGATCCACCTGCTCAGTCTGTCCACTGATCTCTGCTTAGCAGACGGATGACAGGTCTGGTCTGTGTGCACTCTGCTTGTGCAGAGCAGATATGGACACAGCCCGCTGTCCTCTATGGGGCAGTTGGATGTAAATGCGCTGTCTGTCCATTTACATCTGACAGTCATCCGATCTGATCTGCTAGATGGATGAGCAACAGATCCCCATCTGCCTGTTTTTAGTGGATTTGACCGGATGCAGGCTGGTGTAAATGTACACATGTCCATTTACATCCGCCTCTCCATAGGGAGCAATGCATTGTCAAACTGGGTCCAATCCGGTCTGACTGAAAAATGGACAGGTGGACCTGATCAGTCCGCCTGTGTGAAAGGGGCCTTACTATGCTATCTCATCTATCCAATCAGCATTTTTTTTTATATTTCAGCACATTACTGTGCAGCCAACCTTACTGGCTTTTAGCCCTCACTCTCTCTCTCTCTGCCAGTCTAAGCTTTGCTGTGCAGGGGATTGTAAGGCTAAGGCTGAAACTAATTCAAATTCAGGTACTTACACTAGTTGCATTAAACAATAATAATGTATTTATTCATTAATGAATGTCTTTTACATCTGCCTGGAGTTCAGCTTTAAATAACTTGTGCTGCCATACCACTACGTGATAACATTTCCTCCTTAACTTTAAAATGAAAAAGAAACAGATACAAATAAATCAACAATAAAAAGAAATAAAATGGATGTGAATCATTAAAAAAAATCTGATTATAGCCATTTTGATATAGGATATTTTATCTGTGCTACACTGAAAAACTGAGGTTAAACTTGGAGCACGCCATTATGCAACACAGTAGTCAAGCGAACTGCAACTCAGCTGTACTCCTATGTACAAATAAATTATAGAACATATTGTTCAGTGGTTTATGAACCATGTAATTTGAGGGGTCTCCAAACTAGCAATTTGGTAATATGAAATATTGAGATGTCTTTGTAATTGCACTGGTGATACAGTACTAGGTTTAAGACATTAAACCACTGTATGGCACTTATCGTTATTATTAAATGAATCACATGTGCATGGCCAAGTGTCGCTTTGGGTTTACCAGACCAATACAGATGAGGATCGTTTTCCAGTAAAGTTTTTTGTGTTGGCCAAAAAAAAGTCCTGTGTGTGGCATTTAAGGAGCCATCAAAGAACTTAGGCGTCCTGGTTTGTTGTACTACTGACTGCAGTTCATATCATGCAAACAATTCCTTCGATACTAGCTGTGACAAAAGGGCGATTGAAAAAAAAAATTCCAGTGAAGTGCAGAATAACCCTTCTGTTTGCTATACATCCCAGTATGTTGTAATGGGTGCAGGTCATTGAAGATCATTTCAGTAGAAGCAGCTGAATGACAGATAACCACACTCATGGCCATATTAACCTCCAATCAAAACTAAATTATCTGTGGGAACATCCCCACTCTAAATAGGGTTGTGTTCTTTAGCTATAATGTTACAATTTATGGCGACAAAATGACTACAAATAAAACCGCTATCACTAGTTTCCAAATATAAATTACAGTTTATGTTTTTTGACATGATTACTTTCCAAATACAAGTCATACTGTATAAATATAAATATGGATTTATAAAAATATATAAAATACATTAATAAGAAAGGGATCACCAAAGACAAACCTTTTTCTACTGATTCATAGAGAGGAACTGCTCATTGATTTACAACTCTTAGCTCATTAACTTCTACAGGGATGCTGAGATCTGTGTAAAAACTGAGCTCTTATTTGGTAACACTAGCTGAAGGGCCCCATTTACATTTTAGTGTATTGTAAATTGCAGGAAAATTTGTGGGCAATCACAGCAACCTTCAGGTGCTATTCACACCTAGCGGTACCCCAAACAAGCCAAAAAAGGGCGTTTTGTTGCGCAACAAAACGTGCAAAAAATGCCCCAAACCATGCCATCCAAAAAATTGCCAAAGCCAGCTCCAAAAAAACATGAGCTACCTTGGCATGTTTTTGAAGTTCATTCAGTTGAATAGTGTTGCCTCTAAAACATGGAAAACATTCAAGAAATGTTCACTAGATGTGAATGTGGCATAAAGAGGACACAGAGCTGAATAAATATGACAATATCAGAATGACTGTTTCCAGAAAAGGGCTCAGGCCCCATATTCCTTTGCCATCCCATGGAGATTGCTGAGCTGAAAACACTACGTCACTAGCACAGACCCTCTTCTTCAATAAGGTATTTAAATCTGATCTTCAGGCTAAATAAATATTGTCTAAATACAAAGGCTTTCTCATTTTAACGTGGGTTTTCTATAATAAGACCAGTCACTGAACATATGCTGAGTTACTAGTCTTTATTCCACCACATCTAGATTTTATGGACCAGTTGGATCACTCCCAAAGGTCTGTTCTTTGCACAACTTTTGTACAGCACACCAATGAGGAGTTTGAAATTGTTGCACTCAAAGTAGGTGTAGCCTCGTGTAAGCAGATCTAACTAATAAATGTAGTTCTGCTAGGTGGTGTTTTGCCCGTGTTAATTTATATTCTTTCACTTGGCTCTTCTCTAAGTTCAGGGTTTCTTCTGTTTTTCATGTCTGCTGCTACAGGGTGTCACTGGCATTTAGGGCATGAGATAAGGGAGCTGTAACAGTTTTGGGTTATTAATATTTATGTCCCTCTGACCAACCACTAAGAGATTTAGGGCCAGTGGTGCATGCTGGCGGAGAATATAAATATTTGTGGAATGACCTTGTGAGTCCTCTTTCTCCCTCTGCTGTGGCTTGGGGAGTTGTGTGCTGCAGGTTTGAGGTGAGGATGGAGTCTGTCTTCAAAGGATCATGGTACTCCCTTGGATGGAGGAGAAGTATGGCAGAGTCTGCAACCTGTTTCTGGAGGTACAGTATCTGAAGCCCTAACCCTCTCTCCCTGTGAGACGAGCAATAAAAGCTTGGAATAGACAACAAAAGTGCCTGGAGTCCTTCCATTGCTATAGCTCTCTACTGCGGCCACAGTTCCACCCTAGGGTAATGTAAGCCCACCCCTGCTCTAGGGGTTTCTCCTGCACCCGGTCAGGGGAACACTGCAAAGATTTATATTTTTTATTGCAATTTAAGCATATATTTAAATGTTGAAATGTTTGTGCCTGGAGTTCGGGTGTAACTCTTTTCTAGGGAGCATCTGCAACACAGATGATCATCTATATTATATTTGACTCAAAATTAAAGCTTATAAACATAGTGGTACCATAATATTACACTTCATCAGATTTTTCAAATGCACCCCATCTTCCTCTAAAATTGAAACCTATGAAGAGTAAACAGCACAGTCACTGGCATGCAACTATAGTATGTCAATAGTCAAGTCTTCTTTGTTTATATCTAAACAGCCCCTGAACTCTAATGTTCTTTCTGTATGTTGCTAACCATCCTGAAGAAGCTGAATCAGAAGGAGTGGGAGGTCCTTCTCTCCATGCTAGGTTTAGATAATGCTGGAAAGGTTACAGTTTTGAAGATGTTTAATGTCAAAGATATAAACACAATTTCTAAAATGTTGGAATTCAATGTTAAAACACTGGAGCACGGAGGATTCAAGCTGAACATGTGGCACGCTGGAAAATTGAAATCTTTAAGATGCTATTTGAAGAATTATTTAAGAGTAAGGTTTGATTTGGGTGGTTGACAGTGCATACTGTGCGCAGTTGCAAGATTTTGCACAAGACTTAGCTTGGCTTTTACTGAAAGAGAGGTTAGATGGAGCAACATCGCTGGCATTTCCCACAAAAAACATTTGCCTGGTGCAATACCAAAAATGCCATCTGCAAGGCACTGGAGTTTGATAACATTAAGACCCATCACTGGTGTATGCATACAAGGATGTAGTGCAGTGACTGGAGGAAACCTCCTAATAGGGATACACTGGTTATTGGATGACATGTCCAGTCGAATCTTTACAGCCGACTGAAGGGAACTCAGTAGAATAAAGTAAGCAAATGGTTAAAGAAGGAGCATATAGCATATTTATTTAATATGTATTCGGCTGATTAAAATTCTAGCACAAAAAACAGAACTCTGGTCAAAAATAACAGATGGAAAATAAATAGCCCACTGAAAGATCAAATAAAATTGCAGCTTTTTCCTCATTATTCACCTATACAGAGGTGTACCAGGGGCGGACTGACAACTCATGGGGCCCCCGGGCAATAGGGGATCATGGGGCCCCTGTGTCCTTGCCCAAACTCAAAAAATCCTATGATAAAGGTACCAGGGGCCTCTCATGGGGCCCCCACTGACCCCGGGCCCTCGAGCAGTGCCCGAGTTTCCAAATGGTCAGTCCGCCCCTGAGGTGTACCCTACAGTATTTTTCTTTTTCATCACTAGATTTCCTCATTCTGATGACTAGCATCATGTATCCCACTTCCTATGAGGTCAAGTTGTCCTGAACCCAGCCTTGTGACTAGCCAATCAAAGGAGATGTGGCACTCCTATCAGCATGTTTATTGTCATTACATGAACTGATTAGCTTCTTGTGTTGCATCTTCCCTTCAAACTGCAACTCTGCTGTATGGGAACTACAAGAAACTGATGTCATTTTAAATTCAGGTACTTACAGTTCTTGCATTTAAAAAAAATACATTTAATGTTGTATTACAGAGCTACATTATTCTGTGCTCATACTGCTCAGTGTAGATTAGTGGCACACATTTCATTAGGATTGAATGAGGTGTCTTCTATTGCATGCTGCGAGTTATCATCACATTTTCTATGTTTTGCAAGAAGCAAGATGACAGCACAGATTCCTCCAACAATTCTAAACAGTGCGGATGAACGAATCTACCCTGACAGTTATTGTATTCTGACAGCCTGTGCCCAAGCCTGTCAGAATACAATCTGATTGGCTGCAGTGGCTGTTCATCCAACAATTTTCTGTCTAGTTCCTTCATTGTTCAGATCGAAGTTCGTCAAGCTGGGTGGTGCTGGCAGGGCCAACGTGGATTGAATTACAACAGATTCATCAAGAAACAGACAAAATTCAACCTTTCATTTTTACACTGGCCTTTATCTTCTTCAATGTTGGTGCCTATTATCTTAATCCCTATAGATGTTTATAACCACACTTTCTGAAAACCCTAAATCAGAATCTGCAAAGAACTAAAACAAACTAAAAAAACAGCTTGTCCAATAGCTTCAGCATCACCCCCCTTCTCTTTGCTCATTGCAGCCTAAAATACATTAACTAGAATAGCACAAGAATATTTCACAGCACAGAATCATTTGACAAAGGAATGTACAGCCAACCAAAGGCATAATGAAAAGCCTGGTAGATTTGGCAATAGGGAATTTACAATATAGAACAAAGGCTAAAGCCCAACTCCAGTTTTTCCTGGAAACCTGCAGTATTCTCATGACAGCTAGATGATGGAGGCCCAGGGGATGTGTCCTTGATGCCATGGACTCACAGGAAGTGGGTTGGATGACAGTGGATGTCATGCAACCTAGAAGAAGATCGAATAGCAATGAGTCTGTGGGGGCATTGCCGTAGGGGAGGTAGGAGAGAGAAGTGAGTGTTTTACCTTTCTTTGTGCATGACAATTAATATTTTTTTAAAAATGTAATGCGCTGTACACACAACTCTATAAACCAATGCTTTCTCTGAAAAGAAAGCACCAAAATACTGTACATCTGGACATACATTTAGTTTTATTGTCCTATCCTGCAGTGTCCTCTGAGATACCTACCTAGAATGTAATCATCACCACTGGAGCTTAGGCAGCTCATCAACCATTTATACTGCATCACGCAAAGTAATGCTTTGTGGATTGCTTAATGGATGCCAGTGCAATCCATTAATGGGCTTCAGTACTGTCACAAATGAAATAGGGGCCCGCCTAAGTTTTAGCTTTTAGAAAGTCATAATTTATTTGGGTTCTGTGTGTGCCCTTTGACTACATAAGGTGAAGTGAAGCATATGCCCTGCCATCATTTAGTGCTTTATCTCCCCCAAAAATGGCCTATAGCTATAATGTTTCATTACAGGTTTACCTTAAAGTGTTACTAAACCCACAACAGTAAAATCAGTCTGTATATGCAGTAAAGCATGCTTGTTATACTCACTGTGGAACCTAAGGGGTTAATCCTCTGCATTGTGTAAAAAGGCTGTTTGATCCTGACTTCTCTGCCCCTCCTCTTATTCAAATGTCCAGGCTGATAAGAAAGACTGAACCTGTAGCCCTTCTGCACATGCTAAGTTTAGTGTGTAGTGCTAGAGAGGTTTTTTTTTTCTTGGTAGAGTGCATGTGATCAGCACAGGGCAAATCAAGAGAGAGGTCAGGGGTTTTACATCCTCCTAGAGCAGAAAGAAAACTCCTCCTACAAGCTTTAACCAGTGCTCAGCTGAAGTTACAAGACTGCTCTAACTGCTGATGAGAAAAAGTATTTAGCAGTTTATATTTACTAAAATAATTGCATTTCCATGTTGTTTGTACTGTGGGAGACCAGATATAGAGAATGCAGGGTCCTGGGTTTAGTAACACTTTAAAAACACATGTAAAGTTTCCTGGACAGTATCCACACAGAGTGATTTTTCTTGTTCTCTAGCATTGTCACAAAATGTGAAACATGGAAAAAGCCTTGTGGCTTCTAGTTGCTTGTACACATGCAAAAAAAAAAGATTGCAATGAGCAGAACAATGGCGTCAGATAGGCGCAGCTGTTCAAGTTCACAGAGTTTTCAAACTGCCTCCTATGCTGTATGCAAATATCAAAGAGAAATTCCTAATTTCCCTAAAGTATTATAGGCTTGTTTATACTGCTTGAAATGGTCAATTTGAGGCTATTGTTCAGCTTGTAACCATTTTGTGCTTTACCTGAGGTGATTGTAGCCGTATTAGTGCATTTGCGACAGAAACAATTGAGTACTGTCCGTGATACTTTTTTTATTTGCATTAACATACAATTTTGAGGACAAGCTTTCGGGGTATGTCCCCTTCTTCAAAGTCCAAACAGTGCAAATAAAAAAAGTATCACGGACAGTACTCAATTGTTTCTGTGCTTTACCTGGTTACATAAAAGCCTATTTCACAGGCTGTTTTCACTCTTTAATTCCTTAAAACTGACCTCCAAACAATCAGCTAAATACTAGCCAAATATAAATATGGGAGCTTTACCAGTCAAAAGATGTGACATTTTGTCCAGCCACTCTTGATATTTCCACATACCTGCCAGACAGTACTGCCTGGTTGATGACCTGACTTTTTGTCTGATGTAATTAAAACTGATGTTTTTGTCTGCAAAAATGATAACTTCCAAGGTTCCCGCTGAGGCAATCTACTAAAAACATTTGAACTTGCAATGTGTCATTTTCAAGAAAGAGCTTTATAGACCCAGTATCATCATCAGTGGGTCTCTTGTCCTCTGTAACTAGGCAGATCATGGCCCATGGGAAGATCCAGCAGTGCTCCTCTCAACGCCGATGCTAGTAATTGGCTAGTAATTATTATTAGTGGGTGGCTGCATGAACTTGGTAAGGGATCAGAGAATTCCCCTGGCTTTGCAGCAGTATAGACCCTGTGAGTTGACATTTCTGTAACTGAGCATTGGCCCCAATTGTAACACTGTTTTTTTTGTGACAGATGCTCAACACTGATCACTTCCCAGCTTGTAGTTGGACAATGAGGGAACAGAAACAGACTAACAAGGACATCTCTTCTGTCGCCATGTTCCTTTTCAGCATGCATATACACAACGGAGCCTTACCAGCTTCTAGTGCTGGCCCTAAGTCATGCAGTGTGAGTGTTGCTGTACTGGGAATACGTAACTATGATTAGTAGTAATTTTTTAAAATCTGCCTGGAGTTCAGCTTTAAGATTCCCCATTTTTGTAATAATTCTTTTTTACTGAAAGTTTGTAAAAGATTAGTACAAACTCTGCCAGCTTAGGGGAAGTCACTAGTAAAAATAATTATAATTACAATTACCATTGGTACATAATAACTATATGCAGCTGACTCTCATATTAAAGAAAACGTGTGGAATTTCAAAAGAATAGACAATCATACTCACCAAGCTTTAAGCAGCATCAATCCGTTGATGCAGCTGTTCCCCGCCAATTCTACACCGAGAACTGAGTGATCATAGAACACTGATCACTCAGTTTTCAGGTTCACTCTGAGCTGAGCACAGAGCAGTGTCTGTGTGTGTGCGTGTGTGTGTGTGGGGGGAGAGCGGCATTAAGGGTCAGGCTCTCACTGGCACACTGAGAGGCTGAGCCAGCTGCCGGTCAGGCATCTGGGTGGATCCCAACATTATTGTTGAGATCCCTGCAGAGCCCTGGCCGGCTCTGTGACTTCTGCTGACTTTAGCCCACTGTCAGTTGAATCTGGGTCACAGGAGTTCAGAACTAAGTGCACTCTTGTGACCCACTGGCAAAGTATGGCCAAAAGAGTGTTGGCCGTACTTTTCCATTAAAATAAAGGAAATCAATCAGGAGGAGAAAGAAACACTGTGTCCTCTCCTGTTTCTACCTTAAAGGAAGGAGGGAGGGACTAAGTGGGCTTACAGAGAGCATTACCACCCAATGATCATAAAAGAGGGGATAAAGAACGTAATCTGTAGCAGTTGAGGGGTTTTTTAATCCAAGGTGCCCATTCATTCATCATTTCTTTGTTCTCATATTTGTCCTTTTACAATAGCAGATTCAAATTAACCATTGTTTTCCAGAATGAGATGGAAGGTGAGTGAATTAATTACCAGCACATAGCTATAGCTTTCCTGGTATAAAAGAGCAACAGACCTAGGAACATCCTTTCAGCAGTGGGAGTCATGTTCTCTACTAGACTCAATAGGCCGATTTTTGGTATAATCTTTAAGTGTGCCATTGTGACTGTGTTTATACAGTTTACTACATCTTGCCAAGAATATTTCAGGGGAGGTGCAAAATATATGAAAAAAACCACCATTAAGCTAAT